TTTAAAAACGCATTCTGTAACACAAATATACGTCTTGTAATAAAATGCTCAATCGGGTTATTAATGTGAGACGAAAAAAAAGAAAATTCCTCTACCCCTGAGAGGCTGAAACATGATTGTCATTTAATATTTTGAATTGTAACTAGTGTAGAATATTACTTTATATCCGATGCAAAGACTTGAAAGCCACTTCATTATATAGATGTTTTCAAAGTTAGCAAATTGTATATACCTACAAAGTATAGGCAATATGTACAGGTAGCTTGATGTCGCATTTTGTAAAAACGCGTCAATGAATATGAACATAATCTTCATGAGTTGTATGACAAAGCAACAAGTGCAATGCATAGAGTAATTAGTAAAAGTAGATGACATAATTTGCCTTTGAAATATAAAGTTGACTTGTTCGATAAAGTTATCCTACTGATTTTATTAAACAGTTGTGAAATACTTGGTTTTAATAAGTCTGCGCTGATTGATAAGCTACTTCCTACATTTTGTTAATACTTTTTGAATGTGAAGTTATCTTCTTTTAATTTAATGGCAAATGGTGATTTGGGAAGATATGCGTTGTTAATATTAAAGTTAGAATTTATTTTAAAAAATTCTACCTGAGAAAAAGAAAACACTTGGTTTGGCCTTCAGATGTATCGACGACGTTTTATCAATTAAGAATAGTTACTTCCATCCATATGTCGACACCTATATCCAAGTGAACTTGGAATAAAAGACACCACAGACTCTGCCACATCTGTTTCATATTTGGATGTTTTACTGACTATAGACGAGAAGGTCCAACTAACAACTATACACTGTATGAAAAACGAGATGACCAGCTTTTCCATCGTCAAATTTCCTTATTTATGTAGAAAAAATCCATGATCACCTGCATATGTGTTTGTCTCCCGATTTTTTCGATACTCAAGAATATGCTCTGAGTATGATCATTTTTTCTAACCGAAACAGACTTCTGACAGATAAGTTAATGTTACAGGGATTTTAATAATCCCGTTTAAAGTCAGCAATTTATAAATTCTATGATCGTTATAATGACCTTGTTAGCAAATACAACTTATCACTGGGTTGTATTTTGACTGACAAATTTCATACCAATTGTTAGGCCTGTATCTTTATACTAATTTTGACTACGGATTAATACGTCTTTCTGATCAATACAGAGTGCTTACACAACCTAGGCACCTGATCCCACCTCTGGAACTTCCAGGGGACCGTGTTATATGCCTTGTTTACAGATTTGTATTGTTTGTAGATTTGTTTATTCATTAGATCGATTATTCTTTATTATCTTCACCTTTTTCATTAAGAATGATTACTTTCTGCGCTGAACTGATTGTGTCAAACACTGCAAAGATATTCTCAAAATTGCTGACGTTAAATGTGAACCATATGAAACACCATGGGGTAAATTTGTACAAAAAAATTATATATGAATGTTGTTTGCATATATGTGAAAAGGTAAATTGGTTAATGTTAAATGGTTAAAAAACAAAGTATATCATACTCCTGTAGTTAATTTAAGCAATCATGGCATAGTCAAATGACTAATACCTCAAAAGCACTCAATCATAGATTATTAAAGAGTACATATATTCCTTTGAAAAATATTTTGATATTTTAGTGAAATTTCTTGGGAGTTTTTGTAAGTTTAGAACGGGTAATACTATGGTCCCTATTGAAATAGAGAGATGACACGGTATTCCTCGAGAATTAAGATTATGCATATTGATAATTGTAATTGTAAAGAAATTGGTAATGAGTTTTATTCTTCATACAATTGTACTAATGCAAGCAAGGTCAATATATCTTCCTGATTATTAAACAGTGGTTTTGTGAATCCGAATGTATACATTTAAGGTAAAAATAAGAAACAGTTAATAAAGCTTTGCAAATTTATCCAAAAGAGTACTGAGAGAGTCGATTCTCCTGGTTAACTCTTACACACAATGCGCATTGTCATTTGTATTTGTTATAATATTTATTGTTCTCTACAACTGTTACCAGTTTTATGAGAATAATGTTTTGTAACTGTCATTGTCATTGCTATTCGCACCACATGCACATATAAATTTTCAACTTTCTTGAGGAAATTAATCAAAACATTCACAAAAATGTTCTGGAAATACCAGAGGTAGGATCAGGTGCCTATGAGGATTAAGCATTCCCTCATTATTCATTACGATCTGCTGTGACAAAAATAGAGTTCAAGGGACATACATCTTAATGACAATATTCATATATATTTTTTTTAAAAAAAAAAATGTAAATACCAGTACATATAATGGTAAAATTGTCATCAAATATGTATTTTATTTGACGAATAATAGTACCATAGTAATTCATTAATTTATGAAGCGTTTAACAAAACTCTACCTGATACATTAACTTAACATAAATTTTTACCTAAAATACATAATTCCTAAATATTCTGTGTACCAAACACATGTATTTGTACTAATTTGAAGACCTTGGTCTGAAGGAATAATAACATCATGTATTTTTTCTGAATGTCTTATTTTGTGGCCTTTTAAAAAACAAACGCTATTCGTCCTCTATATCAGCTTATTCACAAAGATTACATACTCTGTTTTTCTTGAAGTTCGGTCATATACATGTATGTGAATATATATGAATTATGTAGACCATTTTGTGATTTTTTCAAGTGATAAAAAACATTACAAAATATGCTACCTTGCCTAGAATTTAACTTTACGTAAGCAAAGGTTAATATTATAATATGGGGAAAAACAATTTTTGTTATGTATGGAATACAAGGACATCCTAAAGAAACATTTTGTTTGTGAAAACAGTTGTATAATCAAAATAATCGAATAACAACGCATTGCGCGTATTATGCACGACTTAAACCTCGTTTTTTTTTTTCAAATTTCCGACAGCAAAATTTTTCTTTTTATACAAAGTACGAAAAACATTTTTGATGCGAATGAAAATAACCTGTGCTCAATTGTAGATAGACTATAATTTAATTTATGGATACCTGATATGGCGGTGGTCTGTTTGACACAAATGAAAACGCAAGGTTGGAATTTGAATGGTCATTTATTAATAAATAAATGACGAAGTAACCATAATATGTCAACACATGGTAGAATTGACAATACCAAACACAATTAAACACAGTAGGTAATAGAAACAAACACATATAGCAAAAACCATCATAAAATCTTAAGTTCACAATATTATGCAATGAGGTACGCAAAAATGTACAATAAACAGAATGTGTATTTGAGACCTAAACAGTGTCCACGATGGGGCAACATCCGCCACCGATCAAATTTAATATCTGTCTGAAATCCTCCTCCAACAAAATGATTATTATTTAGTCCCATTTATCTGAGAGAAGTAAATTTCACGAAGGTATTTCATGACAGCCAACACTTATGCAATCTAGGACGTCATTGATTCAAATTGACCACCCTCAGGCTGTACAACAGATGATACGAAACATTACAAACAAATGTAAACTACGCACAATATTTTTTTGTAAGAAAAAAGTATCAAAAATCAGATTTACTGAAAAAAAATTAAAACTTTCCGTATTCTTTAGAATTAGAAATACTTATTAGAAATTTTTCATTGCATTTTGGCCTTGAGATAAGTAGATATAATATGTTTGCTGTTTTTATTTTGATGAATATTTTACAATTACCTTGAATAAAGCATTGAATTTATCTATCTTATGCCCTGTTCACACGGAGAATTTAATTCGAATTAAACGTAAGTTACTGCGAATTAAATTTGAACCGCGTTCACACGGAGAATTTAATGCGAATTAGTTTAATTCGAATTAATTTACTGCGCATTAAATTACTTCGCATTAGCTCCGTGTGAACGCTAAGCGAAGCTAATTCGAATTAAATTTTGACGCATGCGTAAGGGCAGAATTAAGTCTAAGACCACTTGTCGGTGGTCAGATATAGTAACTTGTGCTATTTTTGAGTGGAAAACCAAAGAAAATTTTGTTAATCAATAAAATGTGTACAGACACAATGACATTATGTAAAATGTACCTGCTCTGCACAATGTGACGTGATTTGAAAATGACGTCATGATAAGGCTTACAGAATAGCCTTACTGTAGAAATATAATTTTAATTCGCATTAGTTTACTTCGCATTAGCTCTCGTGTGAACGCAATTTAATTCGCATTAGTTTAATTCGCATTAGTTTACTTCGAATTAATTTACTGCGAATTAAACTCTCCGTGTGAACAGGGCATTAAATTAAATTTGTACATCATAATTCATGATCAAGTTTTAATCCCCTGTTTCTGTGATAAATAATGATTGAGTTTCAAAGTAAAGTTCTTTTATAATTATTTATTTATTTAACTAGAAATATTTTTTTTAAAAATCAAGTATTTTTGAATAATCATTTTAGCAATAAATACTTGCAGTCAAAACCAATTTTTAAATCATGAAATAATCTAAAGTAATATTTATTATTATCATTTATTACATGCATATTGTATTTTTAATATTCATAATCTAGCTATCACAGCTGTTTGCATATCCCCTGGCTAGTTGAGGTCAAACTGCAGTTGAACAGTTAATGATAATTAAGATCAGTAAACATGTGTTGTATTATAGTAGTTAATGATAACATATCTTGACATCAGTTTAAGCTGCTATAAATAGCGAAAGGGGCCAGTTTCCTCACATTGTATAGAAGTTGCACTGGACAAAACATATGTGTAAGTGTAAAATTTACTTCTGTAAGGATAAAAAAATCATTCACTGTTTTGTTTTTGTAATATTCATAAATTCAGACTCATATCAATCTAATATATGACGAAAACCCTGAAAAAAAAGAGATGTTGGAATTTTTTAAAAACATAATGATTAACACTTGAATTTCTAGATACTTTCAGTAATTCTAGTCTAAGAATTTTAGAGTAAATATCAAAAATAAATTTTGTTCATACCATTAATAATTAAAAAAATTATTTTTATAGTCCAAAACATGAAGATTGTTTCCATTTTGTTGGTGTGTTTATCTGGTTTTGCCGTTGTCTTGGCTAGAAGTCCCCCCTGCCCCTGTCCTAGGATTTTAAAACCAGTTTGTGGTGAGAATGGCCTCACGTACAGCAATGCTTGTCTTATGGAATGCGAGTAAGTAACTTTACACGTGAATAAACATTTTACTTTTCTTTCTGATGAAAGCTTTTAACCAAACATATATTAGGATAAGAAAAATGACTACGAAAATTATTGAATATTGATAATGAAAATAAAAACCTAATGACAAACGTTACTTACATTAAGTTATGATTCAGAAATTAAATACTAAAATGTTGTCTTCTAGAGGCGTCAAGCTATTAAGCTTTGGTGAATGCCCGCGTCCAACAGTATGTACAGCCGACTATAGACCTGTATGTGGTGTGGATGGGGTAACTTATGGAAACGCTTGCGGTGCTAAAGCAGCGTAAGTATATTATTCACAGATTATGACTTATAATCTTTTATCAAACATCATATCATATCATACCGGGGTATTTTTTGTTAAAAAAAAAATACTATCTGTATTTAAATGTTAACTTTTTAGTAAATACTATTTTATGTCATGAATAGGAATGTTGAAATTGCATCAAAAGGAAAATGTCCGAAGCCATGTGCTTGTCCCTTCATTTTGAAACCTGTGTGTGGTGTTGACGGAAAAACGTACCCTAATGAGTGTACTGCTAAGTGCGAGTGAGTATACCAACATTGGCATTCATCATTGGGCCAACAAAATGAGCTTTGTTGGCCTAACGTTGGGCCAACATATTGATGCTGACTGGGTAGCCCTATAATAAAGTAATTTCAGTAGTGTTTGAAAATTGATCCTCGTTTTATTTTTGTTACTTATTTTACCATTCTTTTAAACAGAGGAGTTGATGTCGCTTCTGATGGGAAGTGCCCTTGTGTTTGTACGAAGGAATACAACCCAGTCTGTGGTGAAGATGGAAAAACCTACCCTAATGAGTGCAGTGCTAAATGCGAGTAGGTATTCGGTATTTAACACTATTTTGCTTCACAGATTTGCATCTTTTGAAAAGGATGTGTGTTTCCTTTGTAGAACACTTGATGGTTATTATGTTCCCCAAACGAAGTTTGGGAACATATTGTTGCAATTGTGTTACAGTATTTCATATTTGTTATTAAAAAATCTTTAATAGGGTTAGAAAAAATGCATATTGTTACACCTAGTGCAAGTGACGATTGACGATAGTCTTCTTTTCTCCGAAAAGTTCTTAATGGCACTTGTAAAATGGAATATATATAGCATATATAACGATGGTTGCATATTGTCGAGTTTCATATAAAACTTTTTACGTGTAGGGAAGTGAAAATTGCAACTCAAGGAGAATGTCCAAAACCATGTGCGTGTCCCTTCATTTTCAAACCTGTGTGCGGCGTGGACGGAAAGACGTACCCTAACGAATGTTCCGCTAAATGCGAGTAAGTAGTCTCGTTATGTTGACTTTCAGTGTTGAAAAAATTCTTATCGTCAATTTTTTTCTGATCGAATGTCTTAATCTTTTAAAAAAAAAACAATTGAAATCTTTTAACAGTGGAGTCAAAGTAGCTTTTGAGGGCAAATGCCCTTGCATTTGTACGATGGATTACACACCAGTCTGCGGTGAAGATGGCAAAACTTATTCTAACGAGTGCCAAGCTCAGTGCGAGTATGTATCACGAACCACTGTTTCTATAAAGAACATATCTTATATTCTTAAAAGCATATTGTATGATTCCTCTAGACAGATGATGGTTTATAACAGTGTCTGACAACATTAATTGTATACCCTCTAGGAATGTCGCAATTGCTACACGTGGCGAGTGTCCCGAAGTCTGTGCTTGTCCTTTTATTTTCAAACCTGTGTGTGGTGTCGATGGAAAGACATACCCCAACGAATGTACTGCCAAGTGCGAGTAAGTATTCATATAATTTTCTTAATTATGAACGAATATTAGACTCTTACTATGATTTTTTCACTCATATTACTTCTGTTATTTTAAAACAGTGGCGTTGAAGTGGTTTCCAAGGGGAAGTGCCCCTGTAAGTGTACTAAAGATTATAACCCAGTGTGTGGAGAAGATGGGAAAACTTACTCTAATGAGTGCAACGCAAAATGCAAGTATGTACATATATATCTATTTCCAGCATAAATGACTTTTCACTATCGATTTTAATATTCAAGGTCTTAAAACACTAAAGTGCATATTAAATTAAAAAAACCTTCCTGATTGATGGTTAAAAATGATTTTTTTCTTGTATAACGGTCTTGTAGAATAGGCTTTCTCATCTAAAATCCTCCACCCGAAAAACTGGCTCTATAGAGTAGGATTTTCCCCGGAAAATAGTCTCTAGAGTAGGATTTTTCCCCACTGAAAATGACTCTAGAGTAGGGTTTCCCTACGAAAATCGCATATCGGATTCAATTTTCTGGGGGAAATCATACTCTGTGTAATTGTTATAAAGTGCGATTTCACCCAGAGCCAATATCTTGGCTGTACTTATGTATGAGGGGGAAGGGGGCGAGATATTGTTACAGGTGTTCCTTTTTCAAAATATGCGACCAGTTCCATTGAAACATGTAGTATGAAAATAGCTGACGTTGAATTGAACTAAAAATGGGTTATTTATTTCTAAAAATTGAAATATTGGAAAACTTATTCAAGAGAGTATTTCAAATCCAATATTACACCGCTGGGATCGAGGTGACATATTCTTCGACTTGCAAAAGCAGTGTTTCTTGTTTTGTTTTTTGGTTTTGGCTTTTTTTCCCCTTAATTGGAAGAACTACTCTATTCAAATACTCACAAAATGGCCTAAAGAACCTATCAATAACATAAATTTTAGAATTTTCTAACACACTCTTTGTAAAAATGACCGATTCATAAATGAAATACTGGACCTTTAGACGGCAAAGTAATTTCCAAATCACTAAAGGTGGCCTGATATACATTTTTTAAAGTTCGTGAACAAACACGTACCGCTGCGCCGAGTGAGGGAGGTGAGACGTCGAGTCTCACGATTTTTTGAGTGACTAATTTAACAGTTTCCTATGAGTTAAAATTTTGGGTTAAGACTCGATGATTTAAACTATATATAATAAGATTTCATTCTAAATTCGACAATTCTTGAGTCGAAAACCCTCATATTTCCATTAAAACATCAATTGACTTTCATATAAACTTTTAGCCAAAATACTGTCGATATGATTTAAGCATTGATAAAAGAAGGGAAATCCTACTCTGAGAAAGAAAGAAAGAAGGGGAATCTGGCTCTAGAGTGAGATTTCCCCTAAAGTAAATCGTACTCTAGAGTACAGATTTCTGGGGAAAGCTGGCTATGGGAGAAATCCTACTCAACATTAACACCGGTAAAACCATGGTATAATCTATTGCACTCTAAATGACCTGCATTTAATTAAATGAAATTCATTATGGTTATTCATACCATGTTAAATAAGCTAAATATTGAAAACTAAGTCATAGCCTTGAATATGTTTTTCATAGCATAATTATTTAAATTTAAAAAATTAACAAAAAATTTTACAATTTTGCTACGTAGGCAGATGATACAAGTATTTTGTATTTAATTCTTAACCCCCCCCCCCCCTAAAGTATAGAGAATGAGATGACAGTAATAATAATTGTACTTAAATCTTGTCTATAAATAGCTTATGAGTTTACACAAAGTTCATGACTAATTTTACGTTGCAAAAATAGCCATTCTCGAATCATATTTATGAAAGAAGTAATGGTAATTATGGATTTTTCTCTCACGATATCAATTTTTTGTTGACTATATTACACTGATATTTTAATATATATGTCTTCAGGGATGTGGCTGTTGTCAGACCAGGAGAGTGTTGATGAACAGAAAATTCCGTGGACAACAATACAGCTGTGTGATAATTACTTATTGTCTGGTTATCTATTAATAAAACAATTTTTTGCCAATCAATCAGACTGTTTTCTTCTCTGAAATTTACTAAGCTATTTTAGATGTCACTTGATTCAATCAGACAGCCTATTACTATCTGTTTTTGTGCGTCGTGCGTAAAATTTTCACATTTTCAACTTCTCCAAAACGACTGGGCCAAATTCAATCTCAATCACACTTGCTTACAGTAAATGTTTTGCAGTATTCTAATGAATGAGCAATACCTTACAATTCCAAATTGCAAAAATATAACATATAGGTACATCAGTTTGATTTACTGAAGATTATGGAGTGATAACTACATTGGAGCACGTTTAATCGTTTACACACATTTATACCATACAGTATTATCCTATTCGCACCTCCCTCCCTTCCGAGACAGTCACTCCTTGAACCTTGACAATGGGGCCATGAAATTCACAATTTTGGAAGAGGCACTCTTGCTCATCATAACTATTCACTTAGCTTATTTACTTAATACCCAGGAGAAGAGGAGAATTTTTTAAAAGTAAATAATGCATTTTCACTATATTTTCAACAGAACCCCGCCCTAGCACCAGATTTTCTAGATCAGTTTGGTTCAGGTCTCAATTCTTATTTCAATATTGCCAAGTGCTTGACTGCTTGATGTCCAAGAATTAAAGAAGAAGATTTTTAAAGATTGCATTAATTTTGATGGTTTTAACCCCACTATTGAGGCCCCAAGGCAGCAGGGGCCATGGATTTCAAAATGTTTGTTCCCATTTACTCATAGATACTACATGTATATGCCAAAGTTGGTTTAAATTAGATCAGCGGTTCCAGAGAAGAAGTTAACGGACAACGCATGACGACGGACGAGAACGAATGGCGATAGGTCGCCAAAGTGACTCAGGTGACCTAAAAAATTGAATGCAATTTTCTAATTTTCTTAGATTACTAAATAACGTCAGCGAAAATTATCATTTGTTGTCCACTTTCAGATATTTTAGATATAGACGTTTATTGATCTGTATATTATTCCCATTGACATGAAATTTTCTCTAAACTAATTTATCTTCATTCCATCCAATTTTTTCCCCCAAACAAAACACCCTCTTTGATTTAATCACAAGCCTGTTAGACAAAGCTAACAACTGGAACTTAACGTTGTTTTTAAACTGAAATTACAAATATTCCAACCAATCCAAAATATAGTTACTATATGCAGTGTAGCAAAATGTTTCTTAGACATACCATTAAAACAGTTAAGGAGGCTGGGGGGTCAACAAATTAACCATCAGATATAACTTAATTTTTTAGATATGATATCTTATTAGCTGTCAACTATCATTTGGCAAACAAAAATTTCATACATTTTAGTTTTAAAATTTGATCATTTTTGTATATCTTTATATGGAGCTCTTCTTCTAAAGGAGATCAATATAGTCTGAAAATGGCACAACCACCCAGCCCTCTTAAACCATTGAGCAAAGTGATCATTTATATCTACCAAAAATAAAACGTCGATTTGAACACAATAATTTTATGGAAGAAGTTATTATAGGAATATTTATTCAATACTAAGACATTTCTCATCTCCAAAAAGAAAGAAGTACTACCTAAAAAGATATATATATATATATATATATATATATATATATATATATATATATATATATATATATATATATATATATATATATATATATATATATATATATATATATATCTTGTTTCCAGAATACATGTATATCAATCGCAACTTTTGGGATGTCTCCCCGCTAAGCTCGGAAAAACACCTCGAGGTTGTTTTTCCGCTTGTTGGAAAGGTCCGAGAAGTTGCAGTTAAAGAATGTGTAGTAAAACAGCTTGCTATAACACAGAAAGATGTCTTCTTATTGCATTAGCGCTGAAAAATCCCCTTCTTCATCTGCCGGTCTCAGACTGTGAGCTCTGAAACCAAACATTGATGGCATACAATGATCTGTTGTTTCTTGTCTTGAGGGTCTTGACTCTCGACGTTGGGCAGAGACGAGTGTCCATTAAAAGTTGTAGCTTCTGTGGTTTAGTTATTTAATTGTTATGAATATTATATTATCCATCTAATGATTCTAATAATTAATCTTATAAATGCATAAGCAAGGAATGTGATTGGACCCAGGTCTGTTTTTCACTACGTTGGTTGTGTAATTAACGAAATTACAGGTCTTATTGCTTTAATAAATTACTGAAAAAAAGAAGTCTTATTGATAATCGAGTGTGTGAACATATTGCTTTTTGTCAGAATAAAACAACACCAGCCTAATCTTTTAAGTTCAAATATAATTAATCAGCGAACGATTCATGTACATCTAAGATACAGAGATTTGGCGCGCAGTAAACACAGGGACATTCATTAACCTAAAACTTGACGAGGATAGATAATGATAATGATTAACAAAATATGGTACAACTAGCTATTCATAAGAAATCAAATACTTTAACAGTTAATTGGATTTTCTTGCGGTATACTACTATTATTGTCAAGACCATCCTTTTTTCTGTATAAAAAGCAGTAATATCAAAGGCAGAAAGAATATAGGGAAAGTACACAATTTGTTATCTGCGAGCCATATTTCATTAAGAAAACGCAGAGATATAAATCTAAACTAATTGGATGAGAGATAGGTTCTGACTTCCTCTCAAAAGGTAAGTTAATTTAAAACGTTTAAATTTTACTTTAAAAGAAAAATATGTATTTTCATAAAGCATTTTTTCCCAAAAATTTAAAGAAGATTTAAAGATTATTCAAAAGATAAATCTTTAATGTGATATTTGTTGCTTACTTTCCGAAATTATTTAAACCTTTACTTTACATAAGGAAATATACAATATTCTTCGGAAACAGATTGACAGTGATCTGTCGGATCAATCTTGCGGTTCGGTTTGAAGAGACAGTGAGAGATAGAGACAATGAACCTTCACCGTGAAAGCATCATACTATTATTCTTCCTTAACTGTACATTTCTTCACTTTATCAGTCCCCCAATCCATTGATCATTATATTTTTATCAAGATGATGTGGAATGCAAAAGCGGGGGAGTCTCACTTAAAAAAAAATTGCGAGAACTATATACTTAACAATTATTATTACGATTCATTCCTACTTTGATTCGATATAATTATCCCTTTAAACTCGAAATAAAAGACACCACAGAGTCTGACACATCTGTTTCACAGTTGGATATATAAGTAGAGAGAGCCATTAATGGCAAACTAACAACAAAACTTTGTGATACATCTGATGACTTCAACTTTTCTTTCGTCAACTTCCCTATTTCAGAAGTAATACACCATTTTCACCTGTACATGGAGGTTTTGCTTCCCAGCTAATACGATACGCGTGAGCATGTTCTACGTACGAACAATTTCTTAAACGAAGCAAGCTATTAACAAATTAGTTGATGATAAAAGGATATTAACAGTCTCATTTAAACTCAACATTTCGCAAATTCTATGGTCGATATAATGACCCTGTTAGCAAATAAATCTACAATCAATCGTTAAGTCGAATGGTGACTGACGTTTTTCATACAAATTGTTAGGCCATTATTTTTACACTGAATTGTCTACGGATTTTTCCGTTTGCCCGGTCATGACAAGGAGCACACGGCGGGTGTAAGCGGTAGACAGTGGATGTTTACTCCTCCGATGTTTTTGGAGTCCCGTGTTTGCTCTGCTACCAATCTGTATTGTTCCAATGGACTTTTTGCGTAACCGCTGTTCGTTAACTATAAAAAGTTAGCTTTATAAAGGTGACCGCAAAAAATGTAGAATTTTGAACATCAGAGAAAGTGTACAATTTCTTAACATTTTAGAAATTTGATATTTGCGTCATTGACAACCAAAATAGGTTCAAATATACATGTACTCTTCAAAAAAGAAAACGCATAATAGTAATAATACCCTAAATAATACACGATAGTTTTGTCATACATTTTTTTTAGATGGATATGATTCATTCGAGTAAAATGCATTTATTTTTTAACACTATTGTTAATTTGTCAGCCATTCTACAAAACTGACGGACAAAAAGACCTGATTTTGCAAAATGCCTAATTTTTTTCTTTTTTCACTTCTCATTTGTTGGTTTCTAATGCACATCCTTCGGGTGCAAACGGACTATCAAAAAAGGGATATTTTGATTCTGAAAATTGACGCTATTTAAAAATGCTGCACGTTGCATATCGCAAAAAGGAAATTGGGCAACTGGAAACGGGTGTTCCACAGTCTATAATTGCAAGAGGTTTTAATGTTGCACAAAGCACCATCTCTAACCTATAAAACAAAACCAACAGAATGGTACAAATGATCGCCAAAAATATGGCAGACCGTGAGTGACATCAGCAGCACAGGATCGCTTCAGTGGTTTGCGTAATTTTCAACAACGTTTCACAATGACATCCTTTACAGCATTATCTATCCCTGAACTGCATAGAATATCAAACAAGACCGATTGCAATTGACTACGGAATGCTGAAAAGATCGCCAGAAGACTTATTCATACCATTGTTCTGACCCCACAACACCGCAGATTTCGACTTCAAAGGTCTCAGATCAACAGAGCAACACCGATGAACAGTTTGGTTTAGCTACTAGTCCAAATTGTTTATTGCAAAGCCTGATGAAGAATCAGAATGCAAAGGCTTTACGCTTTACAAAACACTGCCTCCGGGAGGTTGATAGATTTGGTGGTGGTAGTGTAATGACGTGGAAAACAGTATTAGGTACAAGTAGGACTGATTTGGTCCGAAATTCAGTTAACAATATGAAAAAGCACGCAATTTCAAATTATTATGATAATATAGAAACCTACTTGGAAGACTCAAGTAAAAATAACAAAAAGTTATATTGGAAATTAATGAAAGATTCATTTAATATTAAATTATCTAACGAAATACCACCAATACAAATATTTAATGACGGTTTAAGACAATTAGCTTATTCCGATTTAGACAAGATTGAAGCATTAAA